GGGCCCCAGGAGCAGCCGCAGCAGGAGCAGGAGCTCTGACTCAGGAGGCAGCTCCGACAGCCTGGGTCGCTAGGGAGTGCCGCCGACAGCTCGCGTGCCGGCATCGCCTCCAAATTCCTGGCATTCTCCGCTTCCTTCCCACCTACCTGGCCATCAATAGCAATCATCTCCAATACTGACGTGGTGGCAGCGCTGGTTCCTCCTTACCTGGTTCGGAGTAAGAGCCCTCGTGTGCCCAGCGCAGCCCCTTTGCCAACTCCTGGAGCGGGTGCATCCATCCCGGCTCCCCACGCCAGGGCTGGAAGAAGAGTCGGTGCTTTATGGAGGGTCTGTCACGACTGACCGGCTCTGTCCTCCCTGATGTCCCCGTTTCCCCATCGCTGCCTTTCTCCAAAGCTCTACCATCTGGTCCAAAGGAAAGAATTCAGCTTCTTGCTCTTCTTGCCAAACCAGGAGCCAGCAAATTAATTTCTGTTGAAGGGAGAGACCCAGTTAGGGAGGAATTTTCTGGGAAGCTTTGGTGTTAAGTGGGGGTGACCTGTCCCCACCAAGGCAAATATCAGGTACCGTGGGTCTCTCCAGAGTTCTTGCCCACTGCAGCAGGCCTCTTCCATGAGAGAATATTTATTTATTGCTGGTCAGCCAGTTCCTGCTATAAATAGAAGGCTAGAAATCCCTCCTGATGTAATTCCTGGGGGGAAAAAGGCCATTCCCTCTCTTTCTCACCCACCCTTTCCTACCAGGTGTGCATCATCTTTCATGGGGTTGTTTTGTCCCCCCCTCCCAGCACTGTGACTTGCTTGCCAACAAACTGCTGAGGTCTGGAGCAGACGTGGGGCCAGTGGGGTCCGAGGGAGAAGGGCGCTGGTGCCACGCTGCTCTCTGGGCGTCAGGCCACGGCGTGGGAGGCGGGGGCCGTGGGGCTTGCTTCTCGGAGGAACCCTCTTGTAGCTTGGGTGTAGGTTTTTCCAAAGGGAGCCTTGCCCTTGGCGCGCAGTGCCAGTGGGACCATCAGGAGACAAGGAGATAGCCCAGCTGCGGGGTGTGGTGGGAGCACGCAGGGTTAAAAGGGCATTACATGAGCCAGGGGACCCCGACTCCTCTTCCTCATTACGGGCAGCGATTTGAAGCAGGGCCAGGAGCATTTCAGGACATCATTTCTCCTAGAGACCCTCGGGCTCCCCTGCGGCAGGACCAGCAGCTGCAGCAGCCCCATCGCGGGGTCTGCACTGAGCTGGGGCAGACACACTCGCGCCCCAGTTTGTTGCTGGGAGGACGGAGCAGGGCAGGGGGACAGAAGGGGCCCCCCGCTAATTGCCTGGGTTGCAAGGAGCCGCAGGCAGAGGCAGGGGAGCGCCACGA